GCAATTTTTTTAATTTATTTAATTTTTTAGGATATTATATCGCTTTTTGCAACAAAAGAATCTTATAACGTTTTGAAGGATCGAAAATTCAGAGTTACAACATTTTTTAATCAATAATTATGGTTCCTCAAGTCAAGTGTACTCATTCCTGTACCTGTTCCTGTAAGAGCACGCTATCGCGGAAAATAAACTCTCACGCCAAACAGGCGTTTCCTTCTTCGCGGTCGAAACCTTCAAACAAGCGTCGGGACCTTTCAACGAACACTTCGTCGTACCAACTTTCCTTCGTTGAAGAAAAAGCATGACTGCACACAGTTCTTTTCTCCACTGTGCGCAAATTTTCTCACGTATCGTCTTCAACAAGTTACGAGCAATAAAGAACAATGCAGCTGCATAGAGTCTCTCTCTCTCTCTCTCCGTTCCATTTAATTCTTTCGCCGCTAAAGCTGTAATATCCCAATTAAAGTGTAATTACGACAATTCATAGATTTATCTCTAATTCAAATACTGTTATATCAATTCAGCGAAAACGTTCAATTAAAAATTTTACCCATGCTTAAAAGATGTTATCTGCTCCTGATAGTTTCTTTTAAAATCATTAATACTACAATATTACATATGAATTAAAATCGTGCAACAAAAATGTGAGAACTATAAAATGCTGTTTCTTTGTATCAAAGTAAAGAGTAAAAAATAATGTATATTTTAAGTTCTTGGTGCGTAACGCGGTCATAATATTTTATTTTATTTCAGAATTTTTCCTCACTATATGAATGCACAAATAGTTAAATATTAGCGAAATCAATGCATAAATTTACTTTCTGGTTTCACTATCGTCATTATGATACACAAAATACGCGATAAAAAAAGCAACGATAAACGCATCAAACTTTCTACGCACGGCGACGGTTTCCGGGGCGTTTCCCGATGATGAGTAGAAAACCTTGACAAGAGGCGCAATGAGGCATGTATTGGAAGGATACGCATTTTATTTTTACTTCCGGTTAGAAGTCTGCAGAACTCCACGCTTGGCACTTTTCGTTCCTTCATCGGCAGATCCCGTCCGATGTTAAGTAAGCTCGATAAAGGAAGGTTCCCTAATACGTCCTCGTAAAAGCAGGAAAAGCAAATTCCTTCAGCGCAGTGCGAAACCTTCCGCTGCTGGAAAGACGAGATTCTGCGACTGATCGCTCTTATCTTCAGCTATAAATCATCCGCTCTCACTGCCACTTAGATTTTGCGCTAATTATATAGAAAGTCTGAAAACGCGAGCGGCAGATACATTATTAATTTCTTTAACGATACTAATTGTGGCGATATTGTGCGGGTGTGTATGTATGTATTTCTCTCTCTCTCTCTCTCTCTTCATATCAGGAAGCTAGTTTCATATACGAGATGTTGGGGAATTCTCCTGTTCGTGCCACTGCAACACGTCGTGGACTAAGCACGTATTTTAGACGGCAAGTACATGAAGCGTCTATTTCAATAACGATGATTTCTACACCGAGCAAGTGAAACTTTTTGCTGACGCGCCAAGTCCACCGCACTTATAGTTTTGCGGATAGAGATATCGACTCGTTTCCGTTTTGATTATACGTTGATACAAGGCGAGAAAGAACAATGAAAAAAAAACCACATATGTATACGTATATATTAATCGAGTCGAACTCAAAGCTTCTTGAAGTGACTCTAACGAGTCATATATGGCGCAGCACGTCCAAGGCGTCGGAATGTGTACGTATGTAGGAGTTGGAAATGTTCCTTACGTTGCGCTATCGAGTAATGTGAGACTTTGCATTCTGCTGGTCGCAGCATGATGGTAACGTAATATTCCATATCAAGACGCAGAAAAATTTCACAATGGCAAACTTCTACGTGACGCGAAACGGTTCCGAGCATAATCACTGCGCGCAATTATTCGTGTACTTTCACTTGCAGTTTACACGACCGACTCTCAATGGCGCGTCGATGACTTCGGGAGTTTTGCGGACGTTTCCTCACATTTCTCAGTGAAGAGAATTCAGAAATGAGAGAAGCAAGTTTCACGCTCGCTTTTATTCGTCGCGCGTTCCGAATTCACTCGCTGAAGACACAGCGAGAGAACTTATGTATTCACGTGTGATATAAAATGCGAATCGCGACGCGTAAAATTTCAACGAACGGCCTGCGCACGTAAATATTTGCTAGCGGATAAATTAAGTTGAACTCGCGTGTGTTTAACGGGAACATTTTCGCAAACAGAAATGATTAATTACGAGTTTGATAAACAAGAGAGATGTTGTCGTAGAGTCTGACGAGTGGCTATCGCACAAGAAAAATCCGGCCGCAGATAAAATGTATGTTGAATGTTACTCCGCATCTGTTCACGAAATAAATTCTTGCGGGAGCACGATTAATTTAATAATATGTAAACATGCTGTAAATGATTAACCGCAGATTGATAAATGACACACACTGCTATCTAATGAGGAGCTTAAGCGAATCTATTGCGCTGCACGTAAGAAATTTTCGCTGGAGGATGAGTCAAGGCTTAAATTTATGCGTTCTGAGTTTATCGTGTAAAATAACTTTTATGTAATACTATGCAAATAGAATGGATTAATCGTTTGTCTATTTTACTCCGAGTATGCTTGAGCCGTAGAAAACCCGCAGAGAGATAAAAAGTTTTCACGGTAATAGAAAGTATGTGTTGTTGAATAATTTTTTCCTTTTAATTCTCAAGGCCTGTACGAGACTTTTCTTTCCAAACTTTAACAATTGGTTTCAGGGTACGTCATCTGCATTGCACATTTTCGTGACGTGTACTTACGCTAAGTAATCCTAATCGATAGGATTGAGACGTTATGAATAGAGCTATTATTATTAGAAAATAATGACTTGGTTCAGCATCGTGCAAGCTATGCTTAAAGAGAATTCAGGCGTTGTTCGCCTTAAGAAGAATGAATAAGACGTACAAAAGTCATCGTGAAGAATATTACGCAGGATAAGTTTCGATTCGTAACAAACCTCAAAGGTTGTCACGATCTTTTATTCATAATTTTGAGTCACTCTCAAGCGCAGGTAAAGAATAAAAATTGTTTCATTCGATAATGGCGGCCGCAATAGAAGGAATAAAGAATTGGGAATAAGGAATAACGATTTCAACTTATCAGAAACCGTGTATTCCAGTGTATCCGATATCTGATAGGTTGAAATCTTTATTCCTTAGATAAAGCAATAGACTCTGTGAAGGGAGCAGTATGGAAGGAAAATTATAAGTATAACGTGGATATCGTTAACAGACGGTTTTTTTTGTCCTTCATAAAAAGATCCCTGGGGGACTTTTGTTCGCACGTGACGTATCGTAAGAGACAATGACGCAGTAGCGGTGCAAAACGTAGCATTAAACGCAAGAACGATTTAAGGATTTATTCGTGCGTAAATCCAGGCGCACGTGCGTACAAAGTATCACGTGCGACAACGCGGTCTGTTCGAAAGTAGAAGTTGCAAGTTTTATCACGAGACGTTACCATTAACCGAGCATTTTATCATAACGAGCGGACAGTAAACAATTTTAAAATAACAGTATGAAAAAATGTGTTTGCGAAAATTAACGGAAAATCAGAACGAAGTGAAATCTAGGTGCTAAAAAAATCAAATTTGAATTAATTGTTAAGTTATATTTATATTAGACTATAAAAGCCAAATTAGAGTCTAAATGCAAACACTTTCTGTTATTTTTTTTTTATGAATTAATTTCGTAAATTTCGGAAATTCTGTGTAGGTGAAAAATAAAAAAGATAATTCTGCCTGTCTTAATAGGATTCGATTTCTTAATATGAATTAAAAAAGTTACTGAATACACAGAGTTCTAAGAATGATCGAAAAATTAAGAGAAGACGCTCAAAGATTTCTTTGATACATTTTTTTATCGCGTGTTTGCGATTGATTGAAACGAAATCTAACGTGGAATATTCAGATGACCATTAAGTATTCATATGTACAATTTACTGTACACCGGTCTCCAATAAAAGTTTCGCACATGCAGTTAACTGTACATCGTACTGAGAAACGTGTGTTAAGTCAAACATGTGATATTGCACATCTTATCGAGTTAATCTCACGAGTGCGCGCGATAATGGATACATTTCTACTTTAATATTTTATAAATTTCAATGTAAAAGATAAATTTTCAGTTCACAGATTTTAAGCTCTTCTTCTTATAAAATAAATTTTAACAATTCTTATATTATTTTTACTATTTTTTTTTTATTTTTCAGTGATTTATTTAAAGCTACGTATTTCCTAGAAGTCTCTCATCCGATGTTGACTTCTTAGTCCCAAGTATATATAAATAACTCGGACATTTCCCATCTGTATAACTATACATACATGTATTATACATCTCTCCACCATAAAATGACGGTAAAATACAAAATATTTCAGAATTTATTTTAAAATTGTTTAAAATTTTAAAAATATTTAATTGTAGAAATATTTTTTCATTGATATCCATTAGAAGATTTTTCTTCCACATTTTCTCCTCGCGTTAACATATCGTGTATTTACAGAAACAACAATTTTGAATAAGAATTATCACCGGTAAGAAGTATTCCAATGGAATTCAGTTACAATTTCTACATGCGTCATGAGAACGTGCTTATCTCATATTTGTTCTGGATCACACCAGTGTCTACTCAACGGAAAATAAAAAAGAAAAGGAAGTGATACGAGCAATGAATTTTCCATCGAGAAATTTATCTCAAATCTACTTTACGAACACAATCCGGAATATTATGTTTCTCACATACAATTACCGGTATATACAGAGCAGTAGAGCAAGTTAATTCCATACACGAATTAAGGCCTGATCTTATTAAACAATGCACGACTTCATGTACAAAGCGAATCCTGCCAGAGTCAAAACTCGCGCTCCTCAAACTCCTCGAAGGAGTCTTGCAGGATCCCCCTTCTTGTAACATTTTTTTTTTTAATCAATAAAATAAACAAAGGGTTCTTACTTTTTTCCCAACGGTCACCCAGCATGGCGCATTCCGCTCGGATGGCAAAATAATTCCGCTGAAAGTCCGGTGAGAGACGAGTCCTTCCTTCGAGTTAGGTTCTCTTGTTACCAAGTTGAAACACCGCACAGAATATGGGATAAGAAGATAAAAGAAAAAAAAAAAAGAGTAAAAAGGAAGGAAGAGGAGAAGCAAGACGCCCACGCGATCGCGCCGCGCAGCCGAGAGCGACTCGCCGACTGCGAGTGCGAGTGCGACTGAGTGACTGACTGACCGACTCCTCCAGCGTGTACCGTCACCTCGCTTGCATCGACACACACGTATACCATGCGGCTGGCATCCAAGCACTCCCCGCCTTTGCCTCTACGGGCCTTTCGTTTCCAGTTCCATTCCAAAGCCCGACCCAACGTGGCCCCAACGTGCCTTTTGTTGCATCTCGTCCGCTCCGCTGCGCTCCGCTCCGCTCCGCTCCGCGCGCGCACTGCGCGTTCTGCCGCTTCAACGCGTTATTTCTCCCTGCGTCGTTTTGGACCGCTCTACATACGAAGCGGAGATCTGCCGAGGGCAATTAGCCCGTAGAATCAATTGCGCCGACTCGACGCTAAGCTTAGTTAAACGAGCTTTCTTTCTCCGTTAATTAAAAAAAGAATAACAGCAAATTACGGAGACTGTTGATGCAATCAGATCTTTATCATTTATCTGTTAGATGCATGTAACGTAATTAGTTGCATGGAATTTCGAACTTATATCACACACAGTCGTCCAATTTTTTTTCACACACACATACAGTATTTATTTCTACATTTGGTTTGTTTTTAATTACAATAAAAACTACCTCTTTGCCTCTAGATACTTATTTGTAAAAAAAAAAAAGAATATTACAATTTCGTTTTACTCGAAACACTCTTTATCCATTATATTTTAAGCGGATGTAATCGCGAACTTACAGATTAAGGGTTAAAATAATCGAATATACACACAAGTTACGTTCTAACGAGATTATAATTTATATGATGATGGTGCTATTCAGTAACGAAACGTCCAAAAACCGGTACTTTATAACTATAGCGCAGTACGGCTTCAAGCCGAAACGTGAAACCTCAATAACAACCTTGCTATATAATCGATTCTGACGCATCGAGTTGCATCGAAGCATCTCGATCATGAACAAAACATAAATTCATGACACAAGAAATTCCTTTAAAAATATAAATACGTTAAACGACGCGAAGAACGCAATAATTATAAATCGCTACAAAACCGCCACGGTAATTATTTAAATTCCCGCAAGCGCACAAAATCTGAATATTATGTCTACGTATGAAGCTATGTAGAATTTGCAGCAATTCTTCCAACTCAATATTTTTGATTTGATTAAATTGAAGAAATAATATGTACATTTTTAAAGGAAAATTGCAAATATTTACACTCTTTTATTTTAGAATCAAAGACAAGTTAATGTAATATATTAATGTAATATATTAATATATAACCGAGTACAATTATTGATATTTCTGGACTATTCTAATTATAAACATAAAATAAATCTAAGCGTACAGTGTCAATTGAATATTTTTTCCACATTTTTCATATCCCAGTTAAATTAGAACATGCTCCACATATTCATAACTTGAGGCTATGTACCATCATCAATTCGTAACCCGTATTGTTAGGCAACCCAATATACTTCTTTGCAAAGAAGTTGCTCATCTACTTTATGAAACTCATGTATTGTTTAATTTAATATTGAGAATGGAATAATGAAATTAATAATATTTTTTATGGTTAATAAAAATTCTAATTTTATTAAGAATTGTATTTAAAAAAATATTCAAATAACACATAAATTATAAAAAAAGATAATTTGGTTACTTATATTTAAATACTTCGATAAATAATGACAAAAACTTATTACAATATTAATATTAATTAAGTATATTTTTTAATGTAAAATAATTTTTAAATATTATTAATTACATCTTAATTGTAATCCATAAATATATTCAATAAGTAAAAATAAATAATTATATTATTTTCGCAAGATAAGATTAAGTAGTATAATATATTAAAATTTATAAAATACAAGCAGGGACGTATACTACATAATTCGTAAAATAAATGAATTACTTATATTAAATGCGTAAGATGACGCTTAATCTCCAAATCTTTAAAATAGGCTAACTTCATTTATATTTTATAATATAATAATATTTCTTATTCCATCGTACATATGTATTTGGCTCGCTATTATTTGTCGCTTATATAAAAGAAAGAAGTTTGTAAAAGAAATAAAAAATATATTTAATTTTGTAAAATAAATAAATAAATTATTTATATTAAATGTATAAGATAACGCTTAATCTCCAAATCTTTAAAATAGGCTAACTTCATTTACATTCTAGAATATAACAATATTTTTCATTCTATCGTACATATTTGGCTCACTATTGTCGCTTATATAAAGGAAAGAAGTTTTCTGTAAAATATCAGATCCAATGTTCTGCTGCGGCATATTTACAATACAATCGTTTTCACTTTCATCGATGATATTTAAATCGTTTAACTCATGTGTCATATCGGATCTGATATGCATGGAATCTTCGGAAATATTTTCTTGTGTGGGACTTCTATAATTACGATCGTAAATCGACATTATTGACATGCTTTTTATGTAATCTACATCTACTTGTGGGTCTGCTGTAATTTTCAAAGTCTCAAAGTTTATTGTAGCCAACTTAGTGTGCATTTCTCGTTCCCCTTTCCAGCGTATATGTTTCTTAATTTCTTGACCCAATGGAATTATTGTTCTTTTTCTCAAGAGACGTTTAATTTTTATAAACGGTTTCGGTATTCTCTTCAATTTCCCCATTTTTCATATATTATATCAAGAGAGAAGAATCAATATCTTTTATCTGTTATGTTATCGTTTTACAATGTTTTCATTCTCATATGTTTTAGTATTCATAAAATATTGTTCTGAAAGAAGTAAAAATATTGCCTTCAATTATTAATTCAATTATTAATATAACAGTAAGTATGTAACAGTAAGTATACAACTTGATTGTGTAATATCATTTATTAGCAATTAAATATTTTTCTAAATTCAATTTTTGTTTTGCTTATATTTAATAGTAAAATAATTGCATTTATTTATATAACTATAACTATATCTGTATATTTCATATATGTCTATTTCAAATTTTTAATCTATTTTAGTAGTTTGTAGATTTTGATTTAAAATTCAAGGTGAAACACGTCTTAAAATAAAACACGATTTTATTACTTTGACATGGAAAAATAACAAATGAAATAGTTATTTTATTTTATTTTATTTTATTTTATTTTATTTTATTTTATTTTATTTTATTTTATTTTATTTTATTTTATTTTATTTTATTTTATTTTATTTTATTTTATTTTATTTTATTTTATTTTATTTTATTTTATTTTATTTTATTTTATTTTATTTTATTTTATTTTATTAATTAAGTATATTTTTTAATGTAAAATTATTTTTAAATATTATAAATTACATCTTAATTGTAATCCATAAATATATTCAATAAGTAAAAATAAATAATTATATTATTTTCGCAAGATAAGATTAAGTAGTATAATATATTAAAATTTATAAAATACAAGCAGGGACGTATACTACATAATTCGTAAAATAAATGAATTACTTATATTAAATGCGTAAGATGACGCTTAATCTCCAAATCTTTAAAATAGGCTAACTTCATTTATATTTTATAATATAATAATATTTCTTATTCCATCGTACATATGTATTTGGCTCGCTATTATTTGTCGCTTATATAAAAGAAAGAAGTTTGTAAAAGAAATAAAAAATATATTTAATTTTGTAAAATAAATAAATAAATTATTTATATTAAATGTATAAGATAACGCTTAATCTCCAAATCTTTAAAATAGGCTAACTTCATTTACATTCTAGAATATAACAATATTTTTCATTCTATCGTACATATTTGGCTCACTATTGTCGCTTATATAAAGGAAAGAAGTTTTCTGTAAAATATCAGATCCAATGTTCTGCTGCGGCATATTTACAATACAATCGTTTTCACTTTCATCGATGATATTTAAATCGTTTAACTCATGTGTCATATCGGATCTGATATGCATGGAATCTTCGGAAATATTTTCTTGTGTGGGACTTCTATAATTACGATCGTAAATCGACATTATTGACATGCTTTTTATGTAATCTACATCTACTTGTGGGTCTGCTGTAATTTTCAAAGTCTCAAAGTTTATTGTAGCCAACTTAGTGTGCATTTCTCGTTCCCCTTTCCAGCGTATATGTTTCTTAATTTCTTGACCCAATGGAATTATTGTTCTTTTTCTCAAGAGACGTTTAATTTTTATAAACGGTTTCGGTATTCTCTTCAATTTCCCCATTTTTCATATATTATATCAAGAGAGAAGAATCAATATCTTTTATCTGTTATGTTATCGTTTTACAATGTTTTCATTCTCATATGTTTTAGTATTCATAAAATATTGTTCTGAAAGAAGTAAAAATATTGCCTTCAATTATTAATTCAATTATTAATATAACAGTAAGTATGTAACAGTAAGTATACAACTTGATTGTGTAATATCATTTATTAGCAATTAAATATTTTTCTAAATTCAATTTTTGTTTTGCTTATATTTAATAGTAAAATAATTGCATTTATTTATATAACTATAACTATATCTGTATATTTCATATATGTCTATTTCAAATTTTTAATCTATTTTAGTAGTTTGTAGATTTTGATTTAAAATTCAAGGTGAAACACGTCTTAAAATAAAACACGATTTTATTACTTTGACATGGAAAAATAACAAATGAAATAGTTATTTTATTTTATTTTATTTTATTTTATTTTATTATTTTCTTAGATTAAAATACGAATGGTTATGATAAAAACACACACACACACATTTCGTCAATATAAACGTCATATACAATGACATACGATTATTGCAATAATAAATACTATATTACAGTGAGCTTTACATATACTACAATCTATATTATTCTTTATATAATATAGTATATTATATACCATATATAATATATATATATATAAATAATAATATAATACTGTAATATAAAGCTCGCTGGATTATCATTCTGTTATATATCGCCATCTAGTGACTGAAAGTATATCATATTCTGTATACGGTACACCATCAGTACACAATAAGTCTGTCTTTTTTTTTTTAGTTAAAGTTTTTGCACGATTCGTCTTTCTTCTTTCTCTCCACGTTGGAGAGAAAAAGAATAAAGATGAACCATGCAAGAAGTTCAGCTAAAAAGAACAGGCCTAAAATCACATACGTACCAAATAAAATGTCTGTATTTGCTGATATTATATTTAAGATATCGTTGATCTCCTTTCGATATTTAATAGTCTATTAATATTTAAACTGTTAAACAAACGTAATGTTTTTCTTGGATTAACGTATTTTCGTGGACTACAGCACACGAAATTGCGCAGCACTTCCTAATATCTGCTGTAGCCTCTGTGGCTGACTACTAACTGCTGGAAATAGCGTATTCTGCCATCTAGTTACACTTTGCTAACTATCATTGCAAACAGAGAAATTTCTACAATATCGACATTGTGATATAGTTATAAAGTAATTAAAAATATATTTATTGTTAAGTAAATTAGACATTAAATCAAATATCTGATATTATTCACTTTGAATAGAACAATATAAAGTCAAATGAATATTTGTAGAGAAGAAACAAACAAATTAATGTTTAGGAAAAATGAGAAGTATATTAAAATATGTAATCAAATTAGTGATATATTTTCGATAATTAAATGTTTGAAAATATTTTTTGGAGATCGGCTGTTATTCTCTTTATAATTATATTTTCCTGATAAAATATAACATAAAAAATATAAAATGTATAATATTTACAATATATAATATTATTATAATATAATCATTTAGTGGATTATATTTCCATTGAATGATAACATTAATAGAAAAAAACACTCATAAATATATTCGAGAACTAAATTCCAGGGTTGGGTAAGTTAACTTTTTTTTTAACTAAATTAAGTTAAAGTTAACAACCTTAAAATTTAACTTAGTTAAGATACAAGTTAATTTATAATGAAATTAATTAAATTGAAAGTTAAGTTAATAAAAAAAGCAAGTAAAATTGAAAACTTAAAAGTTAAATTTGTTTTTTTATTTTTTTATTTCATGATTCCAGAATTTTAGTCTTACAAATAACGGAAATGACAAATATATACTTCATTTAGAAAACGCTGTATATTCTATTTATATATTTTGTTTATATATACTGTTTACATAGACTGTTATATATACTGTTTGAATATTTTGTTCACATATATTTATTAAAAATTTTAAAAATAATTTTATTACTTAAAAATTATTTTGAAATTTTTGTCGGACATTTTTTCTCGCAAGTTATTGAAAATGAGTCTTCTTGCACTGAACAGCCAACGTGAACTCACGTGAGCCGAAGATGTGGTATTGATGTGTTATATTTTAATAATAAGAAATAATAGATTTCAACCTATCAGAAACTAGATACATCAAATATACTATTTCTGACAGATTGAAATTTGGGAGTCGATTATGTATTTGAAAAATGAGATGAAAATTATAAAAGTGAGCAAATTCACTAGAATATTTATAATTTCATTGGTCAACACCTAGTAAATTTGCTCACTTTTGCAATTTTTACCTCATTTAAAGCTATCGCTATTACCACGTATTATGTCTGAGACTTAACTTCAAAAAAATTAAATAAAAAATTAATAGTTATAGATAAAATGTAGCTAAATAAAGTTAAAAAGTTAAGAGTCTAAATTGTAACTAAGTTAACTTAAAATTAATTTTTTAACTGAACTTTTATCTTCTTAATATATTACTATCCAATCCTGTTAAATTCCCAAGATAATAAATTCAAAAATGATGAACGAATGACATAAACAAACAATTAAGAATTAGCACTTTAAATTGGTGCGCAGTTTTTTATTTTTTTTAAATATTTTATATTAAGTCATAAGAGAAACTTGTACATACATGGTTTGGTTAATCTTTTAGTCTTCTTCAGCAAAAAATTCATAATGTATTCACTATATATCATAATTGTATTCACAAATAAAATTTATAACTCTTTCTTTATATTATATATATATGTATATAATACTATTTTAGAATTTTATATTGAGTTGTCATATACAGTTATATGTCATATTATCTCTTATTTTAAAATAAAAAAGTTTTCACAATTTTCATAATTAATAAAAAATGATGGCGGAAGAATAAAGAATGACTTTGTATATATAAGGTATTAAAAATACATTTTTTTTGTCTTTCTCTCTCTCTCTCTCTCTCTCTCTCTCTCTCTTCTCTCTCTCTTCTCTTAAAGCCACAAGAAATATGAGAAATATTGAAGTTATATGTCTCTTAAAGCAAAATAAAATATAAGATATTAATTGCCAGAGATAAGACAAATAAAATGATAATCATTATATCAAACATCACATAAAGAGAGAGAGAGAGAGAGAGAGAAGAAAGATTTCACAGAAATCATTAATTAAATAAAGTTATTATAGATTTGTAGGTATATTGATTTAATTATTAAAGGAAAGCAAGAAACGTAACAATCGTAAACCAGTTTCAGTTATGTAGAACCTGAGATACAAACTTTACAACTACAATGTGACTTGGGTATTCATTTTAGATGACCGCAATTATACTTGGTTTCGCTTCCCAACAACGTGAAAGTTTAACAGACGTCTAACAGACGTCCTAATCTTGTAAATCATCTTTTACTGGCTCCTCGTATGTTCTATAGATTTTCTTTAGTCATTACTTTTTATTGTCTAACATTTTTTGTTAGTTAAATATTTTGAATTTAGTAAAAAGAAAAAAAAGATGTTAAAAAGAAAATAAATATAAAAAAAATCATATAAATAAAATCATAATTTTTAATAAATAAATAAATTTAAATTTGAAAACATACAAGAATTTTTGAAAAAGATTTCTATTCTTATGTATTTGTGATTGATTTTATTTGTAATGAAAGCATAATGACAATACAACAATAAAAATCTAACTCACCAACATTAAAAATAATTAACTCTTCAAAGACTCAACATAACACTTTGTAACAATTTATCATAAACACAATTCTTCAAATACCCAAAATAATAAATAATTATAATTAATAAAGTGTATTTTTAAAACTTTTATAAGTATATTTCAATTAATCTTTCATACGCATATCATCTTTAATTATATAATCTTTGCTAAATATTCAAATAATAAAAATCGTCGTGTCGATAATAAGGCCAAAGACTTAAGAATAAAATACTTAAGAATAACACTCGTATGAAAATTTAGTTTATGAACTAATCCTTCTCAAAAATAAATGGTTGAATAAGACACAACCGGGTTGCGTTTCCGCGCTTCGGCATCGGGTGGAAAGAATCTGCGCACGTGCACCGAGCACGACCGACCTGACCTGACTGAAGCAAAGGGATGATCAATAACTTCCAGGATATATAAGGCTCCGTTCCGGTAGAGCGTGTGCACCTCTTGAGTTCACGTGATCGGTTTATCGCGTACCACGAACCCCTAGTCTCAATCGCGTTATCGGCGACTGCGTTTCAAATTGGTCTGTATATACGTCAGATAGCATCGCAGAGGTATTACATCTATTGGGTATAAGTGCTTAGCGTATATAAGATACACCGATATTACACGGAGTTTATCGGTCGTAGTAATGTAAGGTTTTCCATTTGTTCCGCTATATATGAACGATCCCGGCAGCGTAAAAATCGAGCGTGCATGATGCGTGATGTACGACGGTATTTACCGGAGTGAGCGTTTTCGGTAACAGTGTTTCAGTATGTAGGAAAAAACAAAACGTAAGCTTTCCGACAAAATTACATTTCGACGGATCATTAACGTCGAAAGGTATGTGCACGCACGATTTCCGCCAACATGGCATCACGTTTTTTTGTCAAAAGTACGGTAAATATCACTGATCCTCTTCTTCTATATCGCGATACAGAGCGATATAAATTCAACTTTATTTCCAAAGTGCATACATAATTAAAAGGCGAAGGTCTTGTAATTTTGAAATTTTTTTTCCAAGTACATAATATTTTGTAAAATTTTAAAATATTTTTATACGATTATATTAGGCAATTTTGATATAATAAAGATATTTGTGAGTCATGTATAATTGTCGTAATTAAATAATTAGCGTACGGACTTCAAGAGAGGTGTAATACAGACCAGAAGCCTAACGTAAGAGGAAGAAGATTTTTGATTTAATGAAATAATTAATAAGACTCTAGTCTATTATATAATGAGAACAATATTAAATTTTTTACGAAAAAGATACACGTCTGCCGATATCGTTCATGAACGTTTAAGGAGATTGTAAGGGCATAAAACACATATATTAATATTTACGCTTTAAACAAACTACATACTTATGAAAGTTGTGTTTCATAATGTGTTCATATTCTGTTTGAGCAACACATTTTTATAAATTATTTTATTTGATATTAGTTTTATTGTTATAAATAAAAATTTTTAAAGTAACAATAAAAATCTAAATTCTTTTATATAAATATTTCAAGCATTAAATATTTTTGAATTCATTTTTTAAGTACTTGTGTAAGAAAATTGAGACTTTTATCATTATTTTGTAATACATTTTCATATATTTCTATTAGAGTAACAAATTTACAAAATATTACTTTTTATCGAAATAACTTTTGATCAACTGTCTCTAATTTTTTTGTATCACTTTTAAATGCAATTTAGAACAATCTGTAATTTTTTTCAAGTAATTCTTAACATATATATTGCATTTACCTTACAATCTCCTTAAATACGGAAGCGAGATAAGAAAAAAATGTTAGGAATATGAACATTCTTACGAGGCTTTGCACATATCCACGAATAATCGTACATGACAAATAGAATAAAATACTTAAATTGACTAGAACATATAATTCTTCTGTTTTCACGTTGATATTATTTTCCACACGTCCACGGAACGTGTGGCATGGTGTAGGCCTCCTGGGGATTCCCGCCATGTAAAAAAACGGGAACGCGTCCGGGCACGGTACCCCCTGGGTGACGAGGAAAGCCGTGCCACTTTATATTTCTGTTAATTACCGGGATTCATTCATAAGCAAATCGGTGGTTTATTCTTTCCCGTCGCAATTTCTCAGCCAACTTATGCACGGCGAGTACTACGAGAAAGTTAGCGCGCGACACGACGCAACGCGACGGTGATTTTAAGTAGCGCCGATTAATTTATCGCGAACGAACTTTACGCTTTTAGCCCCCGCATTGTTTCGTAATATTTTTTTTCCATAGAAGTGGCCAGGAGTGGAGTAGCGTTCTACTAATTTTTGGGTGCGGCTGCTACGCGCTAATCGACTGTAAATAAACTCTAAAACAACCGTTCTACGAAATAATTACATCCCGAGTGCACTCGCGTTTACGTTATCATAATTTCCAATCTTCGTAG